TTGATGAGGTGAATATATTGTTGTTGTTGTCTGTTATGAGTTGGAGAACTCAAATCACTTGAACTTGTTGAAGAAGAGAACATTGTATGATAGGGTTGTTGTTGTTGTTGCTGCTGCAGTTGTGTTTGATTCGTCGTCGTTATTGATGGTTGTTGTTGTTGATATGATAATGAATGTTTTGGAGCTAATGATGACATTGTAATATTCACATGATTAATATTATTACCAACATTGCCAATATTACTATTATTATTATGAGATGTTATTAAACTATTATCATAAATTAATTGTTGTTGCTCTTCTTCTTCTTGTCTATTATTGTTAATAATAATAGTTTGAGAATCAATAGAATTATTTAAATTATTATTATTATTTAAATTATTATTTAAATTATTATTAATATTGTAAATCATATTTAATGAAAATGGAAATACAGAATTTAAAAAAGGATGAAATAATGCCTTTTCAGGTGTTAATCTTTTTTTAGGATCATATTCTAATATAGAAGTAATAAATGATACAAATTGATAATCATTTGATCTTAATCTCATTAATTTACTTAATTTTAAATGTTTCTTACTAAATGAATAACTTGATTTGTTACTATTTTCATAAATATTATTATTTATATTATTTATATTATTTAAATTATTACTAGTTACATTACTACTATTACTATTACTATTATTTAAATTATTACTATTATTTAAATTATTTAAATTATTATTTTTAAATAAATTTAAAGGTAAAGGACCAAGTAAATTTAACATTTGATTAATTAATTGATTTAAATTATTTGCATTAAATAAAGGATTACCAATAAAACATTCAACAATTATACATCCAATTGACCACATATCCATTTGAAAATCAATTATTGAATTTCCAAATATAACTTCAGGTGATCTATAAAATAAAGTTTGTAATTGTCTTCCTATATTTAAATTTAAATGATATTTATCTAAATAATTAATTGCATTTCCAAAATCAGCAATTTTTAATTTTGATGAATTTAATTTTTTCATTAAAATATTTTCAGGTTTTAAATCTGTATGAATTATATTATTTTGTTTTAATATTAATAATCCTATTATTAATTGTAATGTTATTTTCTTTAATATTTCCATTTTAATTGTATATGGTTGATATCTTTGTATGTAATTTAATAATGTTTCTCCTAATTCTTCAAATACTAGACAAAAATGTCCACAAAAATAAAAAGTTAAATATAATTGTAATATATTAGAATTATTATTAGAATTATTTCCATTTATATTATTAGAATTATTAGAATTTTGTATAGAANAATAATGTAATGATTCTTGTATTCCAATTTCATTTGATTTTTGATTCATAATTTTAATT